ATCCTCATATGAGACTTTTCTTCAGAAATTAAAGTTTTCTATCTTTTCATTTTAGCAGGCACCCTTAGTCTTTTGAAAATGCATGACATCAGTGAAACAGGTGCAGCTTTGTCTAGCATAGAGAAAGTATGGTGAGGCCAGCTGTACTCTATCTGTCATTTGGTTTAGTGTCACCAGACACTGCAAAATGAAAGATAAGTTGTCATCAAAATTCATTCCAAAGTTAATCAGTAAAAATTACTGTGTGGTAGACTGTTCTCATGAAGGTTGACATGTAGAAGACACCTACGTCCTTCTGCCTGCTGTAGATGTCTCTAGTGGAATATAATAAACATTAGTTATAGACTATCCTCTGTAGTACCCAATGAACTGAAATCTGTTTATGCTGGTGGTTGATATGCAGGAGGTGTGCAAGATTCCAAACAGGGATAGGGTTCAGCACCTTTATAGCTACTTTAAAGATCAGACTAGGGGTCAAAGCAGATTCACTACCCAGTGACATAGAAACCTCTAGCTGCAACCGTCTTTATCCTGACCTTACCTTGAGAGCACTGAACTGGAGCCTTGCCATTAAAGCATTAAAGCATTATAAAGATCAAGGATAAACCTCCAACACTGTCATGGCTTTGTCCACCTATAGCCTCATTTATTGCTATCGTGATGATAAAATTAGCAGTTGGGCAACATGAAGTCATTAAATAACAGATAGGGTAATTGCAACCAGAAATTTTAAGATGAGAGGGATATAGTTTGATGAAAAGGCAAGCGGGGGGGGGGGGTACTTTGGGAATGCTATTGGTCCATAGGTCAATAATTCTGTTTAGGATCATAGCATAGTGCCAAATGTGCAGATTCCAATTCTTCTTTTCTGTGTAGAGCCCTCTCTTGAGTAAATAAAGCTCATGCTTTCCCACAAAACTATGAGTCTAGGTGGAGCCCATTTGATCTAGGGATCTTTGGTTACATGGGTATTTGAAATGAGAGGACATGTCATAAACTGAATTTCTGGGTGACATAAAGGCTCTATGATGGGCTTCACTTATCCTCCTATAGATATCAGGAACATGAGTGTCCCTTGCGAGTGTTGCTTTCTGGAGAAAGGGACATGGTGTTTCTCATAGGGCACAGTTTCCAGATTTTTGACCATTTTGATCATCCTCCCTTAGACATGTTGCAGCATAAAAGAAACTTCATTTTCATAGAATTCATTAATTGAACCAAAACTATATAATATAACTGGTGTGTGTGTGTGCACGCGTGCAGGAGTATTCTTGTAAAATGTTTCTAAAGTTTCCTTTATAAGGCTTATGGGATCTTGGTGATATACACAAAGATGTTATTCTTGAGGTCCCTCATTGTGAGGTGAATTTTGTATTTGTTAGCTGGGGTGAAATTATGGGTTCGTTTCACCACCATTGTAGTCTTTTCCGTGCATGGCAGGACTGTTGTCTATTCAAAATATCACAGTCTGTGAGTACTGGTAGAGTTGCCAGGGATTTTGTTCAATGACAGTATTGCTACATTAGACTTTGTTTCTTCAGCTGTTGTGTTATTGGCCGTACAACAGGGATTGCAGAGAAACATTAATGTGTTGCACTGGCCTTAGCTACAGAATACCAGACACTAGCATAACAAGACCTCTAAGAATAACCTATTTGTGTATGAAAGGCATTTGTGAGATTGCTTTGTAGTCTCATGCTTTAATTAACGAATATAAGACCACCCATGGAGTTTAGCATTATGCTATTTTCATTTCTGTATAGCAGTGGAGTAGGGGCCCAAAATCAGCTCATGAAAGGATTGAATGAAATTAGAAACTGCTGTGTCAATAAAAGATATTGCAATGTAGAACAACTCAATAAGACTGATAATGAACTGTACAACCTTCAAAAGTAGAATAATTTGTAAATAAATCATGATCACAATTCACCATAGATCAGGTATGTTGAGACCCCCTAGGGGTGAGAAAAGCAGTATATAAATACTGTAAATAAATAAATAAATAAATAAATATGAGTTCAATTTGGGGTGCAGAGGTAATTGGGGATTTTAAAATGGGACAGGTGTAGCATTTCTAAGTTTCAGAGGGGTTCATTTCCCCTATTCCTTGAAAACTTATAACTCCTGCTTTAAAATGTGACATAGTGGACAATTCTATTTTTCTTAAAATGTAGGCAAGTTGGATTAACATACATATCTTTGATTTGGCTTGTGTCTGTGAGAAGTAGACCTATGTCTAAGTATTCTTTAATAGTTATCCTCTTGCTGTTTTATTGCAATCTGCTAAATTTGGTACAATGTTTTTATTATTATTATTGAGTATAAGATGTTATATGAATTCTAGCCAAGTATGGGCCACAGATATTTCATGTTGTACAAGTACATGAAGTTTCTGAAAGATCAAAACATGGAAGGTCGGTGTGGGTCAGATTGTGGAATTATGGGAGGCTGTTTATCACCCAATGGCATAATTTATGGATGCCAGTGACAGAGCTTTCTTTATGAAGGACCTCTACTTGGGATCCTTGTGCTAATAGAGTTAGATTTCAGGCTAAGATCTTTCACATTCAACAAGCATTTAACGTGGAATGCAGTATTTTTGTTATCTGTTCTATTGTCTGCTCCCTCTGCCCAATATTGTTACTTCATACGACTTAATCCTGTCCTTTCACTTCCCTCAAGTAGTCCCAGTTTCTTTCTGTGAAATGTTGGGTGGTATATTACTTTCCATATTAGTTGGCTTACTCTTTCAGTTGCTGTTTTATCAGTTGTTTTGGATTTGTATGGTTACAGTCTTCTTCAAGGCATTTGTCAGTTGGATAGTAGAGCAACATGAATGGCTAGCTAAATAAATAAATAAATATTCCAAGGGCTAATCTCTGTATTTCATCTCAACTCTGATTTATCTATTTTTTATAATGAAAACACCAAGGTAGTTTATAATAAAAAATCTCAACAAGAAACAATAAAATTAAGTTTAAAATAATAAAAAATCGGTCAAGCAAATACTTAGTTACAATTACCAGAGTACCTGGGAACTTTAGTTTCTAGTACTTTTGTTATGTAAACAAAGAAGTATTCATTTTATACATGTGATAAAGCCTCTAAAATTTATGGGAAAACCATTGCTCTGTAATGAGAAAGCTGCACTGACTTCAGAATGTTTCTATATGAAGGACATGACTCGCTTAATAAAATTGCAGTGCTACCCTGTTGTGGGAAATTTGACTACTCATACCCATTATCTTGTCTAATACTCTTATGCAAGACAAACTTGCCTTGGGGATTTCAGAAAGGCAGACTGACTTAATAGTAACCTCAGGCCCACCTCACATGACAAGACCAACGTAGTCAGCCTATGAGCGGAGCTGAGTGCATATAGACAGTTTGCTTACCCATTTTGGAAGTCAATCCACATTCACTGGATTGTCACAAAACTATCCAAAGTGAAGTAAACCACTTGTGTGATTAAGCAGGACTGTATTGCCATCAGCATTGTAGAGTGTGAAGCAATACATAACTCTCACCAAACTCAGCTCTTGAATCTGCTTATTAGTCGGTCTGCACATAGAACCAATTTAATTCAAGAGCAGGAACAATCCCTATGTTTTAAAAATCGTATCTGTACTAATAAAAGTTGCCAACAACGCCTGTTGCATTGGGCTTTGAATCTGCAAAAATACATTTTCAGTAAAAATTCAACTTCCTATATGATATAATTCAGTAATCATTTCCACTTCAGCTCTGACTGAAGTTTTCATTTTCTGACTGGCTGGAGTATTCAGGGAGTTGTGGCACAAAAAATCATGTTTATAAGCATTGTATCTCCAATCGTATTTCTTGCAGTTTGCAAGTCCTAGAGTATTTTCCTGCCTATTAATGAATCAGTGAAGCACTCTATGCATTTCCCATTAGTCTGCTTTGGGGGTGCCATAAATCAGAAATTACTTGAAGGCACACAAACAACATGTTAAAACCTGAGAACAAGCTGAGGACACAGGGAACCTAGAAAAAGAAGAGAGAAACTGGGGCATTTTTAAAACAGTTAAAAAGTAGGATGACTAGGGATTAATTAGTATTGTCCCTGCCAAATCATAAGAGTTGAAGGGCATATCAGTCCTGTGACAGAATGAAAGTGCTCTGATGTTTCTTAAGGCCTCCCTACCTCTCACCAATATAGTAGATGTGAAGGTGTGGGATTCACTGAATCATTTCATTTGGTTTTTCTTGAAAATAATCCTTATCCTTCCCATTGTGAGCAATGGGAGGGAAGCCTTTAGAATCCTGTATACTGAAGATATTAGAAAGTAGGTATTCGTTCTTGTGTATGCAGACACTTTCCCAGTCATCACATGAGAGGCCTCCAGTCTGCCCATTGTTTACCTTTTCTGATATTATGCTTTCTATGTTGGTGAAGAATGAGGGAGTCAGGATGTAATCTGGCTAACCATCCCTGTGACTCTGTCTCAGTGATCATGAATTAGATTCCACTATAACAAATACAATTACTAATTACCTAAAAAACTGAATAGGGATTTCTGAATTACTAGATGATTAAAGCAATACAGTTGCATGATTATGCATTCTTCTTTAGATGTGTAGAGCCTCTCTCCTATCTATTCATCTATCTGTCTTCCCATGGTTTGTTTGGACACTTCCAGGAAACACTGTATAACCACTGTATTTTATTCTATGCACATAATTGCTTTAACATCTGCATACACAGAACATGGTATTGCTGACAAATGGGAAAAAAAAGTGAGCTGATTCCACAGTCCAATAATACAGCTTTTAATAGATGTCTCCAAAAAACAATTAGCATACCCAAAAGGTTTATATGGTGCAATATAGCGTAATAGCTGAAATTCTAGATACTACCAACTGATCATTTAGGTTTTATGTATGTGAACCAAAATGTTATGCATTTTGTCATTTTATGGAACAAATAAACTTTATATCACAATTGACACAATCTTTTCAATGCAATCATTTGTTTGCAGGTATTTATGTTAACGGCAAGCCATTCCGAACAGCAAGCCATTGCAAACATCTTGATCACATTGCGTAAAGGGACTCTGTTGATATTTTTGCCAAACATTTTTGACTTGGCAAAAAACAGGTATCGACTGAGGCTGGATAGCCCATCTGAAGTAAAGTTGATCTGGCTTTTATCGTTTCCCCATTTCAAATGCCTAAGAACAGCAAAGTGGTAAAAAGAGAAATAGATGATGATGTCATCGAGTCAGTTAAGGATCTCCTGTCAAATGAAGACTCTATTGAAGATGCTTTCAAGAAAAGCGAGCTGTCTGTTAATGATTCAGAGGACAAAGAAGTAGATGTGGAAGAAGGATCTGATGTAGAAGATGAGAGACCAGCCTGGAACAGCAAACTTCAATATATTCTAGCCCAAGTTGGATTTTCTGTAGGTCTTGGGAATGTGTGGCGATTTCCATACCTTTGTCAAAAAAATGGAGGAGGTACAGTTCTATATTTGCTTACTGGCTTTGTTTGTGTAAGACTGACATGCTTGGTCCCTATTTATTTTCATATTCCTGTAGTAAGCAGTGTTGTCTCCTAGTGCCAAACTAGATGTGACACTAAATGAAGATTGCACTCTTAATCTTATGGGTATGAACTGTACCCAATGCTAAAACTGTGCTTGCTTAACCCAGTGAAGGATAGAGATATATTGGCATGATTTCCAACCTCACATCAGCTCACAGAATTGAGGCAGAGGTTTTGTGTTTTAGGACGCACTCTCTCACATACACTGTCTGTATATATTATATATGGTGTGTGTGTTTATTTGGCATTATTTCCCTCTTTGCCAAAATGAATTAAATGTGACCACCCCCATTTACTGCAAATTACTGGCAAGTATTCTTCCTGGAGCTACAAAACAGGCCTTGTATAGTTTCCTGTTGCTGTTCATAGTTATTTGATTTTCTCATAATTACTGAATGATTCTGCCATTTTTGTAAATGGGCAAATTTACAGATTATGTTGCTTGGCACACAGTGTAAATACCAGGAGGAAAATCCCACCTGGATATCTGTGCATGCAAGTTCACATTCTCTCAAGTATATCTTTATTAGAAAATTGCTCTTTGTGTGCTGCTGAGTTGTTTCAATTTATGGCGCTCCATATATGAACCTAGTATGCCATTTTATTAGCAAGATTTGTTCAAAGGGGGCTTGCCATTGTCTTCCTCGGAGGCTCAGAGAGTGCAGCTTGCCCAAGGTTACCCAGCAGGTTCCCAAGGTTGAGTCTTCAGAGTTGTAGTCCAGTGCTTGAAACACTACAAGACAATGGCACTTTTCCTATACCACTGTGTAAGTGGCTTCTCAAAATTTCCTTAAAAGTGAGTAAAGTATCCTTTACTTTCCTAAAGCCCTTCAAACCTTCTGGAGGAGAATTGGGGGTATACTCATTCTGAAGGAGGAAAGGAATCAGTAGGGCACATTCGGGTGTTAGAAAGATATGCTTTGGAATGACAAAAGGTAAGCAGCCATGACATCATGTGCAATACTTGTGGCCACAACATTCTTCTGTAAGAAAAGTCTTCACACTATACCTGCCAGGGATACTTTAGATCAGGACTTCTTAAACCTTTTCCATTTGTGACCCCTTTCGACCTGAGAAATGTTATTATGACTTCAGGTACATAAAATAGGTGTAAAAATCAAACATTTACTGATAATAAATCAGTATTTGGAAGGCTTGCTAAACAGAATTATTTTCCTTCTGTGGAGTACAGCTGAAATAGTTTCTGTACAGTCCACTGTAAACACTGCACATTGTTCCTAACTGATTTAGGTAAATGGGTGGTATTTAGAAAACTTTAACTGTTGTCAATTTTTTGTTGATCCCAACACTGAGCTAAGGGAAACAGTCCTTTAGATGGCCACAGTCTCAGAAGAGGGTATCAGGATTTAGATAATCAGTTAAGCCATCTATTCCCTCAAAGATCCTGAAAATTCCTATTAAATGTTGCATCTTCCTTTGGCAAGAGCTGGGCAATAATTATGTGAACAAAAACCTAGTGTTGTAAATGTCTGTGGTTTAATTTCACAGTCTTTCAAAATGACGTGGGTGTTAATAACATTGTAAAGAAAAAACTTGAAAGCAAAAAAAGACATAAAATAAAACAAGCAGAAACATGCTTGTTTCCCATATACAAAATAGAAAGTGGAACCATTCTTATACGTCTTAATTTCCTTAGCATCTGTGATACCAATAAACACTAAGGATAATATAGTGCCTTTTAGTTTCAGAGACAGGCAGAGGGTCAGAATAATGAGGAGTTCATATCCTAGTCTAGCCATACTTACAGACAAGTTAGCAGTGCTCTCGACCCTTTCGGGCACTTTACTGCTGCAAGAATGGCCCTAATCACAGGTTGATACTGGACTACCTGTTTTGGCATTAAGGGACTATAATAATATTGCAAATCCTCTTCCCACATCCTCTGTCTCAATTTCTTAGTCATTTTATCCTTTGTACTTTCCCCCCTGAGCTTATTCCCCAACTCCATTGAATCCTGAACCAGAGCTAACTGCTTCTAAAGTGAACTCTGATTTAGCAAAGGCCAATAGGCTTTGCTGTTAAGAAAGGGTATTCCAGTCACTCATCTGCCCATGTTCTGGTCTTTGCACTTCTCTTTGACGTTAATGTTGAGACTGACACTTGTTTACCAGTTGCCATATTCTAATGTTTACACAACAACCTCTTTGGTTAAACAGGTGCATACCTTGTGCCATATTTAATTCTGCTGCTGGTCATAGGGATCCCACTTTTCTTCCTGGAGCTTTCAGTGGGTCAGAGAATCCGCCGTGGAAGCATTGGAGTATGGAATTATATCAGCCCGAAGCTTGGTGGAATTGGATTTGCAAGCTGTATAGTAAGTCACTGAATGTTTCCAAAACCTTACTGTATAATAGGATTGTTTCAATTTTTTTTGTCTGAAAATGGTAATCTATCATAGGATTAATTTTGTAGACTGGAATCCTGTATCACCTACTTGTGTTCACAACTGTGAACACAAGTAGGTGATACAGGTGATTATGACACTGTTGCCATGATTGTAATCCCGCAAACCACAGGTTGAGTATCCCCTATTCAAAATGCTTTGGAACAGAAGTGTTTTATTTTTGGATTATTTTAGATTTTGGAATTCTTTGCACATACATAAGGAGATATCTTGGAGATGGGATCTGAGTCTGAACATAGAATTCATTTATGTTTCGTATATACCTTACACACATAGCCTGAAAGTACTTTTATGCTCAATACTTTAGTAATTTTGTGCATGAAACAAAGTTTGAACCATCAAAAAGTAAAGGTGTGACTGTCTCAGCCCCCCTATGTGGAAAAGTTTGGATTTTTGCATATTTTGGATTTCTGGATAAGAAATCTCTTATTGCTCATAAAATCTGTTAATGGGTTCCAGTCTTTCAGAAAGTCTTCAACTGACTTATCTTTCAAAATGTATGTTAATTTAGCAAGTTAGGCCAACCTTAACAATCCATTCTTTCATTGGTGATAAGTCCATTTCCAAGTTTGAGTACCCCATATTCTTCCTGCTGTTATAATATATTGAAGAAGTTATCCAAATTTAGTCTCCAGTTCGTTATCCATAATCCCCAACTAAAACAATTTTGCAAAACCTTTAATTATTTTGGATTAATATATAAAACTTTGAGCAGTACAGTTTTTCCTTCTTAAATTTCTACCATAAATGAAAAAGGAACCCACCTTACCTTGACATCCCCAATATTGGTTTGAAATCTTTTGAACAATAAAAAAGAGATTTTTATGCAAATACATTTTTTGCAGATTTTAATATTTTCTCCAGAGAAGCAGATCTGCACAATGCACTCTTCTAAACAGTGTCATGTATTGGTTACCATAGTTGTCTTTGGGTAGGACTCCATATTAAGGAGATCAGTTTTGAGAATTTTGAGTCTCAGTATCTGTATTTGGCTTTCCATAGAAACAAATGCTCTCATATGTGTGAAATCTAGAAATTGCTTGTCTATTCTGAAGACCATATAATTTTTAAAAGCTTTATTTACTTGTTTCAAAACATTTAACATAATATAGGTCTTATTACACCATCTATTCCCAGATTTATATTCCCCCACCCTCACCTAGTGTTGTTACATAGTGTATTTTTACATAGTGTTGTAAAAATACAGTGCTGTCAGTTCTATTACTCCTACTTATCTTGAAGAGCATATAATCAATCACAAAGATGGCGTTGACACATTGTGGTCAGAAGGGACTCACAAAACTTTGACTGCAAGGACAGAGATTATCAGCAAAGCTATAGCAAGATAATAATAATCTTTATTTCTAGCCCACCCTATCTCCCCAAGGGGACATAGGGCGTCTTACAACAATATAAAACAAAATGATAAACATTCAGTGCCAGCAAAACATATAACAAATCAGAAAAACATTTTAAATAAACAGATCTCAAAATGCACAGATTGTACCTATGTTAAGTTATAGAATAGAAAATAGCTTTTAAAAAGTGCTTCTTTTTTTCTTTCAGGTGTGCTTTTTTGTGGCTCTCTACTACAATGTCATCATTGGATGGAGTTTGTTTTACTTTTCTCAGTCCTTTCAACACCCTTTGCCATGGGACCAGTGTCCTTTGGTGAAAAACTCTTCTCATACCTGTAAGTTTTGGCTGCACTAGATCAAAATTTTCCTTCTTCTTTGTTTCAAATTACAATGTTAAACTCTTTATAAACTTTGCACTATTGAAAAAAATAGCCCCAAAGGAGTTATACTTTTGTAGAAATAATTCAACTTAAATCCATTGTTATTTTCTAGCGATTTCCTGGTATTCTGGTGAAAGTTTCAGTTCCCACCACTTACTTTTAGTGCAGCTGTGTTAATTAAAAGCATAGAGGCTGCAATCCTGTGTATACTTTCCTGGAAATAAGTCCAGTGAATTCAGTGGGACTTACTTCTGAATAAATATACATGTGATTGTATTGTTTGTATAGCTAAATCTAGTTGCTGCTGCTTGTTAGTATCTTTTCTGAAATGCAGTATAAAATACCCAAATTTAAATACAAATAAAATCAAAAAGTCACTAATGTTTCTGTGCATTGAGTTGATTCTAACTGTTTTAAGCTATATGGACCTTTGCACTTGGTTCTTTTTTAGAGATATAAATCCTCAGTTTTTTTTGGTCTTGCATGGAAGAAAAAACCTTCAAAAATATTCTCTCTGTTAGGCGACATTACAATAATTTTTTAATGCACATCTTTTTCACATTTTGAAGGTTTTGTTAACATTATATTTGTGTGAATACATTTTGGGCAAAATGCAATATTTTGTGTTCAAAATATATTTTTGTGTTTTTCACAAAAAAACTGGAGAATGCAAGGACACTCCAAGTCCTGGATTTCCACAAAAAAAGTGAAAATCTTGTGAAGATTACATTTTTTTTTCTACGACAAAAGCACTTGCAAATATCCTTTATATTGTTATTCCTTATGCAGTCACTTTCTCCTTGTTTCGTTTTCCCTTTGTGTGGATTTTTAATAATCATATCCACAATTGATGAAATGCTTCCAATAGTTTCCCTTGGCAAAAATACGGTAGGTAGGCTTTGTATATTTTTTATATTAAAGTAGGTATTCTATTTTTATATGGATTCCTATGGGCTTGCAATAAGTCAACAGATGATTTGAAAGCACATACATAAAAACAGTATAGGACAAATTCTCTATGTCCTTTACCACATATATATGCTTTTATGGATTTAATTTGAATTGTTTTTAATTGCATGGCATGGGATTGGACTGGATGATCCTTGTCTCTTCCAACTCTATGATTTTATGACTCTATGAACATAAAAAGTTAGGTCAGAGCAGACTTCACTAGTAGTGTAGGGGTTGAATGATAAACTGGAAATTGAGAGATTCAGGCTGGATCTAAACTGGTGTATAATCCAGTTTCTGAATCCAGGTTATCTTCTTTGAACTGGATTATATGAGTCTACTCTGCCATATAATCCAGTTCAAAGCAGACAATCTGAATTCAGAAACTGGATTATATACCAATGTAGATGTGGCCTCTGGTTCTAGTCTTCATGCAGCCTGCTCACTGTCATTATTTTTGGTTTACTGTTTTTTTATGTTTTGTGTATATTATTTATTGTATTTATATGTTTTGTACTTCACTGCAATGTTGTTTATTTTATTGTAATTTGTATTTTATTTTATTGTAATTTGTTGTTTGGGCTTGGCCTCATGTAAGCCGCCCTGAGTCCCTGTTGGGGGAGATGCTGGCGGGATACAAATAAAGATGATGATGATGATGATGATGATGATTATTATTATTATTAGAGCCAAGAAATTCATAAGGTGACATTGTGCCAATCACTGTTTCTCCAGTGATGTCACTGAATTGTTTTTAGTACTAAGTGAGAAGGAAGAAAGCCATGCAATGTCTAACTTGAGCTCATTTGAAAAAAAAAGAGAGATATAAATAAAAGTAGTAGTGGAAATAGTGGTAGAAGTAGTAAAACATAAAACCTAAATGCCCTAATGGCACCAGTTCCAAGCTGAACATGGAAGCTTAGCAGATTCAAGCCTAGTTAGTACTTGGATGAGGGATCACTAAGGTATACCAGATGCTGTAGGATATTTTTTAATGGGAGTCAGTAACAAACTACTTCTGAAGCTTTTCCCTCTAAGGCTACTCAGTAAAATTTATGGGGCTACTATAGTTAGCAGGTTGCTTGAAGACACACATATATGGGGTACTAAGAACAGTAGTAAAAATTCACACGTAAGAATGTTTAGTATTACTATCAGTTCTTGGTATAGGATACCTATAGTCAAAGGCACGGCATCATGTTTAATCTTGCACCTAAGCAGGGTCAACCCAGATTAGTACTTGGATGGGGACTGTCAATGAATCTCAGATGCATGATTTGAAGTCACATACACACACACACTGGGTATAGGACCAATGTTCTATGTCCTTTACCACATATATAAAGATCCCCAGAATTTTTAAGCAATAACAAGACTGTGTTTATGATCTACTGGAACAGAACAGCAGCAACAATAAAAAACCTTTACACAATTTTCTGGATTTTGAAATGATCATAACAATCTAAGCAAGTAGCTACGTACTATGAAAGCAAACTACAGGGATTGCTTTAGGCTGTGTTGAAAAACCATTCTTGAACTGCTTTTATGTCATTTTGTTTAGTATCCAATTAAAATTGTGTATTTACCCTACTGCATTTTTTTCATTCAGTTGTGGAGCCAGAATGTGAAAAAAGTTCTGCTACCACCTATTACTGGTATAGAGAAGCACTCAATATTTCAAGCTCTATCTCAGAGAGTGGAGGTCTGAACTGGAAAATGACAGTTTGCTTGCTGGCTGCTTGGGTTATGGTGTGCCTTGCAATGATTAAAGGCATCCAGTCTTCAGGGAAAGTGAGTATCTATTTCCTCCATAATTTAGGTTTTCTTCACACTAGCCATCTCAGCTCTTATCTACCACACCCCTTTGCCTATAAAGTCTTTATTGGCAGGCTGGAAGCTATGATTCACCATGCCTTTTGGTAATCTCAGTTGGGAAAACTGTACTCTATTAAAAATATAGAAATTTTTTTTAGATAAAAAGTGGGAGTGTTGCAGTATGAGAACCTGTTTTGTTTTGATTTTCCATAGATTATGGTTGTAATTATGTATCAGCACATGACTAAAAAAAAGAAAGAAAACACAACAAAGAATGGGCTTGCCAATTGGCTTCTTGAATAGTATTTCCTCTTTCTGATTCTGCACTTCATCCATGAAACAATCAAGCTTTAAGGACAGATGACAAAATTTACATCGACCCAGGACACAAGTGAAAAAGGAGACCTGCAAAACAAACACAAAGATCTTGCATGTTGGCTCCCAAGTGAGCAGCTCACATGAGATGCCTTCACATCATGCCAACCATGGAAGGGTATTGGGCAAAATGAGCACAATGGGGTAGCAGAGACACAGAAAGGATCAGACAGAGAGTGATATGGTTATACTGAAGTAAGATGCAAAAGCTGTAAAGGTGGGATTTTGAAGAAGGAAATGCAAGAATACATAGGACACTATAGGAAGCAGATGGTCATGATGAATAGAGATTACAGCTACAAAGAAAGTTTGAATAGCTGATCATGTCTTGGTTCCTTTCATGAAACCATAACTTGGGGGAATCACATTAAAATTGATGACCAAACTGATTATGAAGATAATTACTTTACATGAAGTGATCTCATTTTTTTAACCAGAAGAATAAAATCTCCATCCTGGAGGCCTAATGCATTTATTTACTACCCCATCAAATTGAAGTCCAGAGTCAGCCTTTTGGATCCTATTTGAGGCATTATTTATGGATAGAGAAATTAATATACTTTTCCAGATATATCTTGGTTGTAACATGTCCCAGTTTTCAGTCCGCCCTGATTCTTCTTTTCTTTTGTAAGTTGTTCTGGCATGTCAATCAAGTGGACGGCATGTTCTTCAGTCAAACTTGTGTACAGTTACTCACATGGGAACTCTTATCACTATGTCCACCCCCTAGGGCAAGAGATCTGAGTAATTCTGGAAAGTGGTCTAAGAAGACCAATGGCAAAGAAGAATTCCTGCTTTCACAAGGCATTTCAAATAACCACCGACGCCTGGGAACAACTTTCACAAGCTTCATTTTATTGGGAGCAGATATTACCAGTGATATCCAAGATTACCAGCTGTGTAGTGTAATCCTGACTCAGAAGTCAGTCCTTTTTCCTCTCGTGGGAGTGACTTTTCTGCAACAATTATATAACCTGCCTGTCAGATTGCAATTGCTTTCTCAAGGCAATGTATACAATTTCAAAATAATATAATAAGCACTAAATAACCATCATATGATATCCACACTAACTCGAACTGAAATTGAACAGTAGAAAATAAGGTACTGACAAGTTACTTTACAAACATAGCCATGATGACAAAAGGGAAGTTTCCCTTATTTTTCTGTTTATTATATTCACTTAGTAAACAGTGAATTCAGTGTTGATGAAGAACAAAAGTAAAGTTTCAGAGAAATAGCAAGATTTTCATCTTCCTAGAGGTTTAACCCATTCATGAGCTCCTTATGGCAGGGTTATTAAACTCAACTTCAGTACTAGAATAATTAAAATGTGGCCATTTCTGGTAAAGATGTTTTTCTCAGCAAAGATAAGGATCATAAGGCAAAATATCATTATGCTGTAACATTATCCTTCGGCAGGTGTTTAAAAGAAATATTGTGCAATAATATGCTTTAAAGATTCTGTTTTCACAGAATCAAAATATTATGCAATTTCTGTGACACAATTCTAAGGGCTTCAAGCTCTACTTCACCTTGTGAGGAAAAGAACATTTATAAGTGATAAAGAACAAAATCCTTCCCTTAACTACAAAAGTTGGATCCAGTATTTTGCTTTTTCTTGTGGAAAAGCATCCTTCTAATGAAGCATGAGGTGGGGCTCCATGTTTAAAGGAAAGACAAATTGGAGCATGCCACCACAGCAGCAACACAGGAGACTTTACCTGTTCTGCCAGGAACAAAGGGGGGAAGCTGGGTGGTTGACACTTTCTCCCGTGGGATGGTGAATTAGGTGAGTCAGATGATGTGAGACATGAGGTGATGGGTTCCCCCTGGCCCCTGAGGTGTTTGGCGATGCCTGTGCCCTTTTGTGATGAGTTCATAAGATAGCTTTGCCCCCCCCCCCGGAATCACCTTGTCATCTGTGTTTCTATCACCACTGCCAGAATACCCCCCAAAACATCCCTCAACTCCCCCCCCCAAATAAAAAAAAACCAAAAAAAAAACCACTGCCAGAATACCAAAGAGCTCCATTGTGACGATAGCAGAGGCACTCATATGACCAGGGAGGAGGAGGGAGCAATTCCCCTTCCTCTCTTCATGTGGAAACATTTGCTGGTTTCAACATGTGGCACTTGCAATGGCCAGGGACTGTCATAAAGCTGTCTGTCAGTGATCACAAGGAAAAAGAGGTGGTGCTGGTGGCCCATTTAGATAGCAGACCTGTACGTATCGGACCTAGTCATACTATGCAAACTGGGTCACAGCTGTGGGATTGCTCTGGAGTTTGGGGCAAACTCTAAAGAATCCTTTCAACTTTTCCTAATGTGATGCTAAACTGGATTAACCCTCTGACTATCCTGAAGATGACCAGGACCAAGTGTACAGTGAGTGCCGGCTGTTAAACTCATGTAGATAAATCTCAGATAATATCTTTCTTGGGATGTTCGTAGCTCATTCTAGTGGTAGGTTTCTATATCTATCACATCAGAGTCTTCTTAATCATAACACAGCCCTGATGACACTGTATTTGTCATTTGTTTCATTCCTATTTTTAAACAACAGTTTTTAAGTAAAAAGTATTTGTTTCTTAATGAGTCCACATTGCTTGAAGTTTTTGGTCTTTACAAATGTCTTAAACCAATACAGAATTTGAATAGTATCAGAACTTTGGGAGTGTGATTTGATCTTAGATTTTTGAGCAAACAATAGAGTTAATCAGATCTAAGACATAAATGTAATTTTTTTAAGATGTGGTTTCTTTTCCCTGTTTTTCAGATAATGTATTTTAGCTCTCTTTTCCCTTATGTGGTACTTATATGCTTTCTAATCCGAGGGCTGCTTTTAAATGGTTCATTGGATGGTATTCGTCATATGTTTACCCCTAAGGTATGTATTTGGTTTCTTCTTGTTTTGTTTGCTTGTCTTAGGCAATTTGTTTTATGCCTGAATAGTTTGAATAAACTATGGGATCAGATTATATTGCAATCATTTGGAAGACGCTCATTGATAGACTGGATACCTGCTGTGAGATTTGCCCCCCCCCCCAATATTCACAATTTTATACACTTTGCCCCTTTACACATATACATATAATCATGTGATTGCTTGATTCAAACTGGTCTTCTTGTGTGTAGATTTGTAGTGTGGCGAAGCAATTTTTACACCATGTGCATGACAGACTCAAAGAAAGAGAGAGAGATTGAAGGGAGTCTACTACAAATGTGAATCCAAAGTTCATTCAGAATTTTATCTAACCACAACAGGATGTGAGAACAACACAACAGTTTAAGAATTTGGGATGACTAATCTACATTTCATAAGCTCAAGTATATTTCTGCAGATAGTTTCTGAACCTAGATTAATTCCTTCCCCTTTGTTTTCTAAAGTACTCTGTACTAGGTTTTTAAGAAGTGCATATTAAAAAGGTGAAGAAATATAAATTATGATTTTTTCCAACATTCTTCTCTACCAGTTATTCCCTTTTCCTATTCTTTCCCTCTTAAGACCTGCGAGGTAGGTTGAGGGATAGCAATGAGTCTAATCAGTCTTAAGTTTGATGGGTGAACTGACCTCCTACAACCTTGTCTAGTTGGACTCATGTTTCAGAACAGAGAAATATACTGGGGAACTCACAACATTGAGGGTGCATGTACATTGTAGAATTGTAGAATTAATGCAGAGGCATCCATATGACCTAGGCGCCTCCTCCATAATACAACTCCCATGATTACATAGCATGGAGCTAAGGTGGTTAAAGTGGTGCCGTACTGTATTAATTGTAGAATTTAGATGCATTCTGAGTCACAAACTAAAATGCATAGAAAGAATCATTTTGAGAAATTAGCAACATTAGTTTGGCATTTTTCTATCACTAGAGTATCTATAGCCTAGATTGGCTTTATTTTACCAGATTTATTGAGGAACTCAGAATCTTCAACCCAAGTATATAAAAGTCACACATAGCTCTTAGAACCAGCTTCACATATCTGCCTACACAATCCTTGCATAACAAATATGTTTAATAATATTTGTCCCATTACAAGAAAATTCAAGTTATATAAAAGCACCTGACAAATGAGAAGTCAACAGTAAAATGATGAGAAGAGCCTAGTGAAAATCCATGAGGTCTTATAATATATTATTATAATCCAAAAAGAGCTGTCAAAGCATTGAGGTTATTATATTATAATTTTTTCATAGTGGAAGATTCCCAAGTTCATACAAAAGATCATTTGTAGTAAGGTAGTACTACAAGGTAGTAAGAATTGCCTGTGTGTGTTTTTTAAAAAATTAAAACTCTCCCATCCCTGAAGCCAAATACAGAATAGAAAGCTGTAAGTATTAGTCATATGTGAATGATGAAAAATTAAGCTGGAGCATGATTAAGAGATTTAGGAAAAGTCACACGGGAAGACTCAAGCAACAGTTGGATAGAACTGAGATCATGTTAATCCCTCTAAATATGGGCATCTGTGATAGTTTAGGTGGCTGAAAATCCCTGGCAATATTTCCAACAGTTGTGTGTATACAAATCATTGATAAGATTCCTTGATCATATTTACAAAGTCTTAATGGTCATTTGGGAGAATGAGCGGATCTCAAAATCTCCTGCATAAAATGCAGTAATATCTTGTTCCATCATTGCACTTTGTCACCGCAATTCATTTCATTTTGTTTTACCTGAATCTCACATGATGCTCCCCTTTTCATGATCCACTATCCATTTGCATCTCAACGTTGGCATTAAGTATTGGGTACAGTCCAATATTAAGCTATATACTAGTAGGTGATGTGGAAATAAGTGAGACATAACTAGATATTGCGAGTTGAGAACTCATTGATCTAAAGTTCCAGATAGAATAAAACCATAGAATTAATATATACTGGTTATGTCAACACTTATGTAAGCTCCATTATTTCAACGGGTTTGGTCTAACTGTGATTTTAATTAGTGGGTTTAGGCTGCTGTATTGTAAAGATTACACAGCAATATTGATAACTTACAATATGTACTGATCTACATGGCAATATCAAACCTGCTGTGGATTGTAGTCAACCCTTCAAATTCATTGTGCAGGACCACCACAAAAATGGAAACTGAGAAAAAAAGGTTATTTGTTAACCTGAGAAAACACTTCTCTAGGAATCTCTATGTCCTCCAGTAAAACTTCCATTCTCATTGAATATTATTATTGATCATATTTTGCGCTGGAAGACCCAGGGATTCCTGCAGAATATTTTGCATAGGAAATCTAGGTCCTCCAGTATGATTGTATGGTTCAGTAGAAATTTGAGCAGATAGAGATTCCCAGAGGGAACATTTTAATCAAATCCATGAATAATCAAATCCATAAAAGTCAAACTCGCAAATGTGGATAGCTGACTACAATTTCAATTTATAGTGTGACCTCAAGAAACCTCATTGATGCTATAAAACTCATCTCATTCAGTCTTATCTGTACTGATTGGCAGCCCTCTTCAGAGTTTCAGAGACGGAGCTTTCACAGCATAACTCAGAATGTTAGGTCAAGATAGGACCCTTTTAATGACATTCACAAGCTTTTCCATAGTTCTTTTCCCAGTATACTGTGCAAATTTGTAAGTAATTCCCACAGATTTCAGTGATTTGCTTCCAAGGAAGTATTCATGAAGTTGCAACCTTAAACCCACACATTCATATTTAATCAGCCTTTAGGTGAATTTACAAAGCTTGATCCAATGCAGGGGGAGAGGAAGAGAGCTTAGTAGTAGTCGAAGGCTTTCATGGCTGAAATCACTAGGTTACTGTGAGTTTTCTGGGCTGTGTGGCCATGTTCCTGAAACATGTTTCTGGAACATGGTCATACAGCCTGGTATACAGGCCAAAAACGCACAGCAACCCAACTTAGTAGTAGTTAAATTAATTTAGGATAGAAACATTAAGAAAAAAAGAACTGTTCCAGGACTAAGCAAAATGGAGAGAAAAAGAAGTGAGGCACTACATTCAACAGGTAGAAATTTCAAGAGAATGAAAGATGTTTATTTAGCACCATCTAGCGAGCAAACATGAGTATGACTGTATGTGAGAGTGTGTACGTTTCACACTTTCTTTACAGTCTTGGTATTAAAATATCTCAGAGTAAATGTTACTAATTATATTAATGTATATTTTAAGGAATAATCTGTTTTTTTACATCTGTAGAAATCTGGAAAGTTATTCTCATACTTTAGGAGTAAGATGAGTAGACTCAATTTATATCTCTGGACTCTAAAAACGTAACTAGAAAAATGAGAGATATATAGCCTGATATTTTTCTTCTTCTTCTATCAATTTCTGCTTAAATATTGCCTTATTCCTTGAGTAGACCCATAGAAATCAATATGATTTAAGTTAGTTATTGCCAAAAATTTCCATTCATTCTCCTCCTAATTACATTACTGGCCTACCTCCAACATTATGTTAGCAGAGGTACATAAATATGACAAAAATATGTTCCTGTTCCTTTTCCCTGACATTCTTTAGAGCACCTGAAAAACAGGTCTGGGTGGTCTTCAGGTATTCAGAGCAGGTTTTGTGCAGGCGCATCTGCATTGTACAATTAGTGTAGTTTGACACTACTTTAACTGCTGTGGCTCATTGCTATGGAATCTGAACATTGTATTTTTACAAGGTCTTTAGCGTTTTCTGACAAAGAGTATTGATGTCACCAGAGTACAAATCCCAGGATTCTGAAGCATTGAGCTGTGGCACTTAGCATAGTGTCAAACTGCATTAATTTAACAATGTAGTACATAGGAAGCTGGGGGAATATTTGTCTGGAGTTGCTCGGTCAGCAGAAGCAAACAATTACATCATGCCCTCTTAATGGTAATAGTAATAATTATTTTACTGTGATGATGAATGTATGCAAGCTAAATGACACCAATCCTGTAGATTTAATGACACGAGTTTTATCAGGTTTTTCTCCTAATTTTAAATACAGCTTTATTTTTTTTTAATGTCAGCAACAACATTTTTTGTGGGAGCAGGGTCGAATTATTAGCAAACTAGCATCAGATAAATATATTTGTGTGATAGGTTTTGTCAAAGATGCAGAAAAAGGGGGCAATGTGCAGCAGAATATTCAGTGGCAGATTTCAAAATCCATTTTGGATTCGCGTTATGGTTTGACGTTTGGGATAAGAATGTAGGATGATGTGGGGTATCTTCCTGGATGATTTGTTGCCTCTCCATTTTGGAGAAATGCTATGTTTTGTAGCTGACATCTATTGTGTCTAATTTCAAACAGCTTGAAATAATGCTGGAGCCCAAGGTCTGGAGAGAAGCTGCTACTCAGGTGTTCTTTGCCTTAGGGCTTGGATTTGGTGGAGTCATTGCCTTTTCAAGCTACAACAAGAGAGACAACAACTGCCATTTCGATGCGGTTCTGGTGTCCTTCATCAATTTTTTCACTTCTGTGCTGGCAACTTTGGTGGTGTTTGCTGTTCTGGGCTTCAAAGCAAATGTCATAAATGAGAAATGCATTATCCAGTATGAATATTCATTTCTATATCCATTTTAATATTTCACTTAGGAATTTCCACAGCAGTTCTTTGGCTTGACAGGTGCTTTTTTTGTTGCCTTGTGTTTTACAGAAATTCTGAAAGGATTGTTAACCTTTTGCATATGGGAAATCTTAGTAGAGATATCATACCTGCTCATGTTAATTTCTCAAGCATCACAGCAGAAGATTATAATCTTGTTTATGATATAATCCGTAAAATAAAAGAAGAAGAATTTCCTCTTGGATTGAAACCTTGCCTGATTGAAGATGAACTAGACAAGGTTTGAGAGATACCTGTTTTTGATGGAAAGATCCCAAATAAGCAACTGTTTAATAGCCATGAAAAACAATTCCTTGACACTTCTGAGTATAGCAAACCATATGTCTAATATATTCCCACAGTTTTGTATTCTGTCTGGCTCTGTCCAGGTCTTATTAAATGTGAATTTGAAGCTGAAATTATGTGGTACACCCCATCATAGTGACATATTTTTTTTAAAAATCACCCCATACTTTAGCTGCTCATCTCTAGTGAGCAGAATAAAGTAACTTTCTCACCCAGAGCCACTGACTGTTCTGGTAAATAGAAGATAAAGATACAATGGAATAATTTATATGATGGGGACAATATTATGCTGGAGTTGTAAGTCAACAGAGATATTTTGCTTGAGACAAAACATACATTGGCAGAGCTCTACAAAAAATGTCCATCATAATCAGGTAGTCGTTGTATAGTCTTATCGAGGTGTTATGTGACTTTGGAGATCCACAGGTTTGTCAAATCTGCCTTTTCTTTCTTTTTCCTTACTTGTTCCACATATCCTTAAAAATGTCAGTCTTCAATGTGACAGTTTGTATATCAGCAGAGAGCACCTTTCTGTCTATAGCAGACATTATATCTGCATTTGATGAATGTGTATAAGTAAGACTGTGTATTCTCTATTTCTAATCTACACAGTAGGGTCAAAGTTCATTAAACTCTCCAGATATCATTAGACTGCTACACAGCATTCATAACTATTGGTTATTCTGACTAGGACCTGAATCCAAGTCAGTAGTCCCAATGAGAAAAGATCTATTTAATTTGTCATTGAATGGTGAGCCAACCCATAGTTAATTCAGTAAAGTTCAATCCAATAATATCTGAACTCCTACATGATTCTCATCTCTGCTGTTGATTATTAAAACATCTGTCAAGAGCTTCTTCATGACTAGTGCATCCAGGAACTCTGTTTTCCACAGCTGCCAATCTTACAAAGAGAGCGCTCTATGCGAATAGCCCAGGAACTCTCTACAGAAGTTTTCATGTACACATGTAAGAAGTACAGGAGAGTTAGAGCCTGCTGTTAAAATGTTACACCCTACAACATGCACCCACTGACTCTGTGAAGAATTTATATAGGAAGCCTGTGTTTCATGACAGTGTAATAGCAGCCCCTGACCATACATACAAAAAATAAAGAACAATTATTAATAAATCCACTGTTATTCAGAAGTACTTTTTCTGTCGTCAGTAGATAAGTTGTGAAGTGTAGGACTCAAAGATTGCAACTTATCAGTTAATTGTACAGATAAGAGATACTCTGCTTTGATTTTGATGTGTTCTCCTACCTTGTTTTAATAATTTGGATTTTTGGTTGACAGGCTGTTCAAGGAACTGGTTTAGCCTTCATAGCTTTTACAGAAGCCATGACACACTTCCCGGCTTCTCCCTTCTGGTCAGTGATGTTCTTTCTTATGTTGGTAAATCTGGGACTTGGCAGCATGTTTGGAACAATTGAAGGGATCACTACACCTATAGTTGACACCTTCAAAGTGAGAAAAGAAATACTGACTGGTGAGTAGTTACAGATCTCTTTCCTTAAGTTCTATTTAACTCTAGGATAAAAGTACCTTAAGAAATATTTATTTTGCTCTAAAGGTTGTCTTTAAAAAAGTTTCCAAAAATTTACAACATTTAAGTGTAGATCTATGGCAAGAACTCTGATGACCTTTACTAAGTAGTTGCTTTTTCAATCTATACACCGATAATAAAATTTAATATGACTACAGAAGAAAATCCATATATAGAGATAAATAGCAAAATGCATGTTTCAACAAAAAAATAGAGTGGATAACAAGAGGAATCATCGTGTATGAATTGATATGGTCAATGAAAGCAAAATAATTCATTTTAGTACACTTATCTCACAGTGATCCCTCCTCATTGATCACAAGGGCATCCTTGCTAATGCTAGTTGTCTGATGGTGGTCAGGAGTTGTCCAGAACTCTATCTGGCTATCTGTCATGGTGACCACAGGTGGAAGAGGAGATGCACAGACCATGGCCTGATCTGTCCCATTTGCCTTGTAGACAGCAGACCAGTTTAGATTGGAGCTGGTCATACTGTTCACATTCACCTCAAAGTGTGGGTCTGCTACTGAATTTCAGCAAAACTCCAGAACATTCCCTGACTTTGCTTAAAATAAGATTAAACCAAGTTAACCCAGTTTCTTATTTGTGTGAAGAAATGAAAAAGCCCAAAATTTTTCAAAAGTTATTAGAGATTTTCTGTATTTTTCAATGTTCAGAGAACTTTTTTGAATGAACACATGAATGAATGAATGAATGAATGAATGAATAAATGAAAAACTACACAGCTATTTGATATGGCAGGATGTAGTATCAAATGAGAACTCACCCAAAGAAAAATCATACAAAGAATATAAATGTTTCCATGATGACTCTTTCACCCCATTTCTGTTTTTTTTTAAAATAGTTACTTGCTGTCTTCTTGCATTTTGCATTGGCCTGATATTTGTGCAGCGGTCCGGTAATTACTTTGTAACGATGTTTGATGACTATTCTGCGACATTACCTCTGCTAATTGTGGTCATTCTGGAAAACATTGCCATGTCTTACATTTATGGAATAGACAAGTAAGTGCTGAAATATTTATGTTCCACCATATAGCAAGAAATCTCATGGCACCTAGTACTGAAACAGGTTAAACAGGTTAAAGACAGTTAAGACAACTAAAAATATTTTATACAATATGGATAAAATGATTAAAATGTAGAAGTTTTAAAAAACAAATAATTATGTTTTGGGATTGAATTAATGAGGCCCAATTGCGTTGATGAATAACCAAGTTTTAACTTGGCACCTAAATAACAAGAATGGTGATACCAGTTGGGTCTTTGTGGGGAGGGCATTCCACAGTTGGGGTGCCACAGCTGAGAAGGCTCTCCCTCATGTTGGGACATAGAAAAGGGACACAGTGGTGAGACAAAGAGAAAGAGGCCTCCCAGCCCTAATATCTTCAGGCAGACACATAAGAAAGGTGCTTCCTGAAGTATCAAGTCCCAATACATTACAGCCCATAAATGTATTGGCCATCAGCAAAGCTTGTTTAAGACTGGCATTATACACTTACATTCCCAACAGCAGTCAAGTGCTATATTTTGCAGTAGCTGCAATTTCCAAGTGTTCAAGTGAAACCTAATGTAGAGCATATTGCAGTAGTCTAATTAGATGGGGGCCAGTGCATGCAGAACTGTAACTATTTGTTTGTTCATTTATTTATTTGCTTTATTTTTATCCTGCCTTCTATCTCATAGGGAATCAAGGCACCTAACAATAACATGACACAAGCCAGAAGAATTTAAAAACAAGGCAACTACAAAAATTAAGAACAATTAAATATTTGTGTCATAGATACAAAAGTTATAATACAATTAAATATAATAAAATATATTTAAAAATACATTTAAAAACTGAACACCACCACCACCCCTCAGCAGCCTTCCCCTGATTATCCCCCAAATGTCTTCATCCGCTTGCAAACATTTTCAGAATAGGCAACACATTTTGTCTTAGGCCATATATTCATATTATAATAATATTTTTGTACCCCACCCCATCTCCACAAGGGATTCAGGGTGGCTCACATGAATATATACAAAATAATTATCAAAATTGAACTAATAATACTCCTTTCTCTCCAGGTTTATGGAAGATTTGAAGGATATGCTTGGCTTTTCTCCAAACCAATACTATTACTATACATGGAAATATATTTCCCCTGTTGTTTTATTATCTTTACTGGTAGCTAGCATTGTTCAAATGGTGTTAAGTCCTCCTCATTACAGTGCATGGATTGAAGAGAAGGTGAGTGATGACTTTTAAAAAGGAACATGCACTACTCATATTGAAAGTGCACAGATAACAGGAGTCCTGATAGCAAGGCATACAAAACAAGGTATTTGAAGTTAGAATTTTTATATTAGATCCTCCACATTATGACAAATCCCTTTTCAGAAAACATTTTTCTTAACAAAATATTAAGCATTTTAAATTTCCAGAAATTATTTAAGGAGGCAGTTAGGATAGGGTGTAGATGGAGAAGATTTCTACTAGTTAGAGATCGAGTTTATCTTAGTTGTAATGATGTGCTATTGTTAGCTTAAACATACAGTGACATTTTGAATGAGAGGCCTGTTATTAACAGTCGTACTATGTTCTTGCAAACTTAGGGTTGTGGCTTCCTGCCAGAGAACAAACATTCAGGGATAAGGCATCCTGCTCCTTGTTTATATCAGCTCACTCTGCTATAAATTCCCACTATTCGGAACCAACAGAAGGAAAGCAGGGCTTTGGATGTGGTTGTTGATCTTGATGTCACCTTCCCATCATTTACTTAGGATTGTTTTGTAAACTTTTTCAAAAGGAAGAAACCATTGCATTCCTATTTTTAAATGCCTGTGGACTTTACCTATTCCTTTTTTTTACTCTGTCATCTTACACCATACATTTATTTTGTTTGAAATCACTATATTTAACTGTTCTGCTTAATTTATTTATGTGACATTGTTCAAGCATTTAAAAAGACATTGTATCTATCTAGCCTTAATCTTACAAATGAATATATCTTAAAAGGAGGTAGTCTTTCTATGGAGCTGTAAGAAGATGGACCACAAGGTGGACTTGACCAAGAATTTGGGAATGCTATGAGAATTAAAATATATACATCAGCACTTCGCTTGAAGGACATGTATACTTGTTCCACATTCTGCAGTTTATTGCTATGTTGATCAAAACACTTTAGTGAAGCACACTCTTTGTCATAGGCTATTAATTTAACTAGATTGTTCAAATTGCTTTCCTTGTACCTCATAATCTTCTCTAATAGCCTGGGTATCTCCATAGTCTTGCTTGCAGGCATCTTTCTTGGAATCTGCCTCCCAGAACCTTCTAAACTGTATGCCTTTAAGAGACTTGCATTTTATTTAATACTCAAAACACCATCACTAGTTTCATTTATTTTCCATTAAGAATGGGGATACCTCCTCTATTCCATTATTCTGAAGGTTCAAAGGCAAAAATAATTAAAAAGAACTAATATTTTCAGTAAATATATATTAGTATTTGCAGATCAGTACTCTATAAAAATGGAAATAAAAAGCTAAATGTCTCAATACTTAAATGTCTCAGTAGTTCAGAAACAAGACCAAGAATTTTGAGGGGGGAAAATCCAGAGATAAACATGGATTAAATATATTTTCAGATATCCCTGTTTTTGGTGCATAGAACTTGAGAATATAGAACTTGGAAAGCTTGAAAATGTTTTATGAAAGAGGAGAGCTTTGCAAAAGGAAGATGTCTAACAATATTTCTGTTTTTGTATTTGCACAGGCAACTGAAGAATTCCAGAACTACCCAACCTGGGGGCTGATCGTCTGTGTGTCTCTCATTGTTTTGGCTATGCTCCCTGTCCCAGTAGTATATGTGATCCGCCGCTGCAATCTTATTGATGACAGCTCTGGTAGCTTGGCAGCTGTTTCATACAAAAGAGGGCGGATTATCAAGGAGCCCATCAATCTTGAGGGAGATGATACAAGTCTGATTAATGGGAAGAGTCCAAGTGAGGTGCCCTCTCCAAATTTTGGCAAAAAGATATACCGAAAACAGACTGGTTCTCCAACTGTGGATACTGCTCCCAATGGTCGCTATGGTATTGGTTATATAATGGCAAATATGTCAGATATGCCTGAGTCTGACTTGTAGCTACAAAGTAGGGTTGATGCCTTTGTTGTTATCCTGCACCACTGAACATTTGTTCTCTTTAAGAGAAGGGGTCAACTTCACTTACTAGAGTGCAATCTCAGGTGCCTAATGGCTGTCTCCTTGAAAAGATCATGACCTGTGGTACAAAGAGCTTGAAAATCCCCTTTTGGCTCAGTTTGCTGGTTTCCCTTTGTATTGAAGGGAATGCACATAGATACTAATTGGTAATGGCCTCGCTTTGTCAGGATTGCCAGATTTTTAAAAATTATTTTTGCATTTAATTTGAAAGTTTTCTATCTTTAAAGTACAGGTGTTACCTCAGTTTGTAGCAATTTTTTAAGTGAATTCATATTTCTCTACTGCTGTAACTGGAATTTCCTTCTTTGTTCCTGCTAGTTAAAGCCCCCTTTTATTGGAAAACAAAAATGTGTTCCAAAGAGTTTGCCAAGCCTGTTTTGACTGCACTTATTTGTACATAATGTTTTGTAGATACTCCCGTACTTTTTTTAAGCAACCACAGTCCCTTAGGCTACTAGCTTAATATAAAAGAAAAAAAAACAAGAAAGAAAAGAGAGCAGCAAACAAACACATTAAAAACCCTGCAGATTATTTTCTTACATGTAATAGCTTTATAGAGCAATAGTATTAGTCAACCAAGTATGATTATGATGGAAACAAAAAGAAATCCTCAGACTTTGGGGAACTGCATATGATGTGGCTGTATTTTGCATACTCTATATACTAATGTAAAAGTCTATAAATTTGAGTCAAAAGTCAATCCCAAAAACCTGAGTCAACTTACCCACAGGTCAATGTGAGTACTGTGCCTACACTCTTATAAAAAAGGAACTATACCCTTCTCTGGATGAAGGTGGGGAAATAGTGGTGACACTGACTGCTAGAGACAACTGAAGCCTCTTCCATACAGCTGAATAAAATCCCACATTTTCTGCTTTGAACTGGGATAAATGGCAGTATGGACTCAGATAACCCAGTTCAAAGCAGATATTGTGGGATTTTCTGCCTTGATATTCTTGGTTATATGGTTGTGTGGAAGGGACCAGTCTTCCTGAGATGGCATTGGTACTTTCCCTTCTCTGCAGAATATCAATGGGTCATATCAAAATCCTTAATTTTGCCCCCAAAACTTGCCCTCAATTTATATATGAGGTTGATTTATACATGAGTATATACGGTACTATATTTGTTTTTTTAGTGTGAAAATTATGTCAGAGTGAGTCGCTCCACGACTCTTAATGATTGTGCAGATTCTGCATTTTTCTAAGCTGTGTGCCTAAAAAAAAGAAACACAAAAAATCTCTCCTAATATTTATTGTGGTTACAAGATTATATATATTATATTTATATATAATATACTTGTAATGTACATATGTATAGTAATATTGTATGTAATAGCTTCAAACCTTGAAGCAAGATGGCTTTAAAACTGTTTCTGTTTCGCTTCTGTTTTATGCAAAGAAGATTGTCCCCCTGTCCCAAGTCAGTGATCATTCAGAACTGTATGCCATTTACATTTAATCTAGGAATAAAGAACGTGGAAAGTTGTTTGATTTTTATTTTATGGGATTTTTCAGCATATGTGTCTCTTTTAAATGAATTATAAGAGGGAGGGCAGAAATACATATTTTCAACTTCAGTATGAGATTTATTTATTTATTTATTTATTTATTTATTTATTTATTTATTTACCTTACTTATATACCATCGTTCTCAGCCCAAAAGCGACTCACAGTGGTTTACAACAAAGAAGAACAGCAAGAATTCAATGCCAATTATAAAAACAATTAACAGCCTACTACAAAAGCCGTTCACTGTCATCTCAATTTAGATCTATATACATATCTTGGGAGTTGGGGAACAAGTCTAAACATCAAAATTGTTTTTGCTTCATATACCCTTTATTTATACTGATATCCTGAAGGCATTTTTATACAATTTTTAAAATATTTTTGTTCATAAAACAAAAGTGTGTGTATTGAACTATCAGAAAAGATGTCACCATCTTAGTCATTTATGTGGGCAGTTTTCAATTTTGGACTATTCTGTAATTCCTAATAAGAATAAGTATTAACTATTGATTGTGCAAAATAATCATAATAATTTCCTTCATATTGTATAACTCTGTAGAACAGAACTGCACAATTTGGTAGTAGGTAAAATAGACTAAACATCTTCCAACAACCCCACTTTAAAAGTACAGGTACAATTAATGATTAAACTGTTTGTAAATAAGCCATATTATAAAAAGGGAAATTTAAATCAATGTCATGTGATGTTTTTATAATATCAAAAACACTTTCTTCATCAAGACATAATCCAGAAATTGCAATTAGCAAAGACTTCTCAGCAGCAGCAATTTATTTAGAAATCTGAAAACTAGCCTTGAAGCCACCTCATTTTCTGAGTTTATTTTCTTGAAAAACGATTGTCCCCCACTGAGATTTTGCAACAATTTGGATGCTTGAATTTATTTTTCATTGGTATCCAATTTGTTTAAGTCAGGATGTATTGATTTGAAATGGCAATGAAGATTGTACTCCTTAGGAATGGCTATTACTTCTCAGCAAACAAGGTGTAATGTTTTGTCTCTATTGTAATAAATAATATCTATTTGCCCCCTCCAGATTAAACACTCTGTGCTCTCATTTGATCTCCTGCTTTTTAATCACCCATTTTTACAAAATAAACTCAAAAACTTTGATGTTAAAACCATAAAATCTCCACTGCTCACATCGAAAGAAATAATGAACTGAATACAGTAGAGTCTTGCTTATCCAACATAAATGGACCGGGAGAATGTTGGATAAGCAAAAAGTTAGATAATAAGGAGGGATTAAGGAAAAGCTTATTAAATGTCAAATTACGTTATGATTTTACAAATTAAGCACCAAAACGCCACGTTTTACAACAAATCAACAGAAAAAATAGTTCAATACACAGTAACATTATGTAGTAATTTCTGTATTTATGAATTTAGCACCAAAACATCACAATGTATTGAAACAGATGTGTATCTGGGTGAGAGTCAGACTGCATTGGATAAAACAGGACATTGAATGAGTGAAGGTTGGATAAATGAGACTCTACTGTATCTGACCTTGGAGACAGCAGCAGACACTCTAATAACTTGGCAGACAGTCATGCAGCAAGGGAAGGGAAGAAGCCCTTGCATTGTTGCTGCTCAACACATCGTTAACTTCAGCTGGGTTGGACCATGCCTGCATTCAGTTTTCCCTCTTCAGTGCCAGTAAAGTCTGAAAGCACCACAACAAGATATGATTTTGCTCCTCTCAGACTAGAGACAGACTGATGATGGTTGGTTGCCATGGATCATGTGACAAACAGGAGAGAGTGTGCAATGGCAACCCACCCACCAGGTTATGTGACTGGCAGAATAGTTAATAGTGGAAGGTGGGTTAAGGTGAGAAATGTTAAAACCTCATTTCAATGTACTGGAGCTGCTTTATGATTTTTGAGATGTAATGTAATGATGTAATGAGTGATTTGTCCATGCATAACTTATACACTGTGTAATGTCAAGCAAAAGTTATGCATGGACAAATCACTCATTACATCTGGCCTAATATGAATTCCTCTGCCAGTAGAAGGGTGGTTTGAAAAAGTTGACCTGAAGAAACTCCTGTTCAAATTTACCAGCTTCCAGAATTCATTGCCAGGTGAGCTCTTGCAGGATATGCTAACAAATAGATAACTGGGACTTTTAACATTCATTGTAAATTACAGACCTCCAGCAGTTTTCTATAGCCATTTTGAACATCAGGTTGCTGTTAGTTTTTTGAGCTGTATGGCCATATTCCAGTAGCATTCTCTCTTGTCGTTTTGCCTGCATCTGTGGTTGGTATCTTCAGAGGTCTGGCACTGACCTCCGAAGAGAGCAGCCATAGATGCAAGCAAAACATCAGGAAAGAATGCTACTGGAACATGGCCATACAGTCTGAAAAAAATAACAGCATCTCAGTGATTCCAGCTATGACAGCCTTCAACAACGCATTTTGGACATCACTTTTAGAATTTTATAAGGCTTTACAAAAATGTATACTGTAATCCACTGTCTTGACTTTTTCACATGCTAAGATTCTGGCCTTGGCACCAAGGCAAGACTATTAATCTAAAATGGGTGCACTAGTGGTGGTGGAGAAGAGAGATGTGAAGGGATCAGACCTCTAGGGTGATCTGAAGTTCATTCCTGAGGGGCCAGAAGAGAAGGGGTGATGAGTGACATATTCCTCTTCCACTGGGGCTGGGGAGTGGGGCACTTTGAGAACCTTGGTGACTACTTTCCAACTGTGGAAATGCAGGTTCTTCAAAGGTCAGCATTGTTGGTCTCTGGAGAGCCTTGTGGACTATGTGGTCATAAAAAATCCATGTGTTGCATTACTACAGCCAGTTTACATGTCTATCCTGTCTTCCATGGATTTCTATGAGGGAGTGAGATATTGTGACAAAGTAGCAGAGGGAGTTCTGAAGTAAAATGTTGGCTTGGGAAAATTCTCAGGCTTTGGGAAACATTGTGCTGTCCCTGGCAGTAATTCTGATTAGAAGAATACACCACATGGGATTTAAGTCCTATCACAGTATTGCTGAATTTCCTGCTCAGAAAGACTATTCCTCTATCTGGTTTATTAGGTGAAACAAAGACAGAGATATTGTGTATAATCAGACTTGAACAAGCCTGCTCAAATATCATGAACAAATATCATGAAAATATCATTTTAATCTTCATTTAGAATATAGAATAAGCAATGAAAAATGAAAAACCATCATATCTATATGCACCACACAGGGTAGTTGCCATCAGTTTCAAGAAGAATAAGCATTCTGTGACAACAAAAAACGTGTCCTTCAAAAATCATTGAAGGCTTCAACAATTATTGTTCGTTTCCAGAGATAAATAAAAAGATAACATTTGTCAGATAAATGGTCACTTGTGAGATTGCTACTCTGCTTAGATTATGTCTAGAAGAAGAATATTATCTGATCTCTGGTTATTGATAGTATGAGGGCGATGAAGGCAAAGCTGCTGACCCAGAAACACGCAACCTTTCCATCCCAGGTCAGAACTCTAATGTTATGACATGAAGTCAGAGGTTAATGCTTCATGACAATTACAAGATGTAATAAACACTTATTTGATAACCAGTGGTATGAAGGGGTTGTAGGTCCAAACTCTGGCTAGCTTGAACCCTGAACCAAGGTTATCTGCTTTCCTGTAGATAAAATGGGTGCTCCTTTGTGCAAACAGAATTCTGACCCTGGTGTGATTTGAACACACAGCCTTCTGATCTGGAGTCAGACATGCTACCATTGTTCCACAAGGTCAGTGCTACTTCTGATTCAATCCTGCAGAACAAACTATTTGTTCTGCATCTGGCTTTAACTTCCTTGGCTTTGTGTGCTTATATGAACCACACAGAGTATATCTCCAGCATGCAGGGATCCTATGAATGAGCAGATGTCTCCAATAAAAGGAAGAGTGGGACATGAAATAATGCATTTTATTTTGGTGCAGAAAATACCAAATCTAAAATCTCTCTGACTTGAGTCTTATTCTGTTCTGTTTCACATTAAGCTAAAGCCATGTGGCTGCCACATTTACATGCATCACAGCTGGCATAGGGACCAAAAAGAAAGTAAACCTTCTAAAGTTTGTATAATTTGAACACACAACCTCTTCTTCTGGAGTCAATGACATCATGAAGCCACCACTGATTCTAAGCTATAGCTACACAGAAGCTATTTATGGGAACAAACTCTCTGAAAGGAAAGAGTTAGCAGTGGAGCATGACAGAGCAATGAGATCATCAGAGCTGCATTCCTTTTTTTTTTTTACATTTTTAAATTTAATTATTATTATTTTCTTTAATTCAATAAAGCCTCTTGCACATCAAGTTAGCACAAGGACTAAGGAGGAAAGGGGAATATTGATCCTGGTATAACTTAAACACACAATCCTTTGATCAGTGACCTCATCACATGGGGCTTTTTTAGTGTCTTAGATGCTTCCCCACCAGTCCAGCAACAGATGGGTATGTTGCCCATCACACAACATCACTGGACTTCCAGCGGCAGCCCCACCCACAACTGGAGTGGAAGCATCGTACAACACTTCCCTCACAACATGGGAGCCAAATGGAGCCAACAAGGAGCTTTGGCGATGCTTCCCTGTTGTGATGGGGGAAGTGTTGCCATGACGAAGCAGAGCACAGATAAGGGGGAGTCCCTTGTGTGATAAGGTTGCTAGAGTAAAATGCACTACCATTGAACTAAAAGACCAGTTGTAGTTCTACATTTAGAAGAGGCAAATACTAGAAAGCACCCAATGGAATTCGCAGGAAGAAAAGGAGATGTGGCTCAGTGCCCGGTGGATGGCTATTTCTATTTTGAAAAACAACAACAACAACAAACACATATTGGCCTATGTAAAATTGCTACCAAATATTATCCATAATATTCAGTATAATAGTACCTTCCTACCTTCCTGCTCTCAAAATGCTGCTGTTGCCATGCTGAGTTTTTTAAATGT